GTGGATCTCAGACTGGACCAGCTGGCCGTCACCCCACAAGCTGAAAGCACAGCCCCCCTCGACGTCCCTCTCATTGACTTTTGCAATAGTCCGGAGGTGCACGTGGCTCTGGGATCTGAGCGTGGACCACTGATTGACCTGCTGCTCAACACTCCAGACATGGACAGGAACACTGCGTCCAAGGCCCCCCAGGAGGTGGGACAGGTGAGGAGCGGCCGCTGGCTCTGTGGCCGTGTCGCCTCGGGTGGTCTCCCTTCTGGGTCTGTTCCTTGTCCTACGGTGCTTCACAGTGACCCTTGAGAGTGGCCCAGGAGGTTTCTAAAGTGACATGGCTCAGGGCACACCCCACTGGTGGCACCAGGTCCTGGTACAGGATCCTGCCTGGGAAGCCCAGGCTCTCGGAGGGTGGGGGGTCACATCACCGCCCCTGCAGGGCTCCCCCTACCCCCCACCTACTCTGTGACGAGGGAACTCCGAGTCCTTCCGTGTGGCATTTCCTCCTTCCGGCTCCGGCTCCTCTGTCCGCGGGCCTGAGCCAGGCTGTCCGGGCAGTTGGCGGCCCCGCGCTGCAGCAGAGAGGCCTGGAGGGGAGCCTGGAGGGGCAGTGTGGCCGCACGGCTCACCGCCTGTCCCTTCTTGCAGCTGATCGACTTGGCTTCTCCTCTGATCCAGCTGAGCCCTGCGGCTGACAAGGAAAACGTGGATTCTCCGCTTCTCAAGTTCTGAGGAGAACACAGTCCTTTGCGTTTCATTCTTTCTAAAAGAACCTTCAGTCCTAAGGTGGTTTTCAACCCTTAGAAAAAATCTTAGGAGAAGTTGTACTGGGGGGAAAAGCCAACCTTTGGTAAGGGTCCTGTGCCTGGAGGGCTTGCTGTGGGCGGGGGGGGGGGTGTGTTTGTGTCTCCCGGTCACTGCTGCCCAGAACCTCCCACACGTGCTGCCCCAGCGCCGGGCTGAGACGCGGAGGTGCGGTTGTTCCGGTTGAAGAATTCTGTTTTGGATGTAAAATAGCACGTGACTATTTTTAAAATTAAGTTTGTATGAAAGTTAAATATTCTAGACTTAAATTGTAAAATAAATGAAAATTATTAAAACACACCTTGGTTTTTAAGGTTGTCTAGATTTTCAAACATGCATAACTATTTTTATTATTATCAGATTAGGTATGCAAACCTTTCTTTTTTTTTAAAGATTTTATTTATTTACTTGTCAGAGAGGGAGCACAAGCAGGGGGAGCTACAGGCAGAGGAAGAAGCAGGCTCCCGCTAGCAGAGAGCCCTTGGCGGGACTCAATCCCAGGACTCCAAGATCATGATCTGAGCCCAAAGCAGATGCTTAACCAACTGAGCCACCCAGGTGCCCCTAGGTTATCCAAACTTTAGTTGTTTCAAGTGATTTTCAAAATTGAGTATGAGTAAAAATTGGTTTAAATGCAGACCCAGGCTCACGGCCCAGGTCTGGGGCTGGCCTAGTAATCTGCACTTCCAGCCCACACTCAGGACACACCTGGAGAAGAGGCTGCTCCGGGGAGTGAGGGGGCCAGGCCGAGGGAGAGGTGTGGGAGCTGAGGTCCAGCCTGTCTGGGAACGGGGGTGAGGAGGACCCCTCCATGTGCTCAGAGCAGGAGCCTATCTGGTAGAGGGAGCTGAGGGCCACTGAAAGGTTTCTTCCCTGACTGAAGCCATTCTCATTTAAATCTTTTCTAAAAACTAGCTGGCTTGGAAGCCAGTGATCTATATAGATACCTCATTTTTTGAGAAAATTTTGCAGTCTGAGTGCAGTGGCCTCTCAGCAGACTGGAGTCACGGGGCCTGCTGTTTGGGCTCCCGTCTGGTATTTCCTGCCCGATACCAGGGAGCCTCGGTCCACAGAGTGCAGAGGGGGACAAGCCAGGGGCCGTGCTTTGAGCTTTCTCTGGTTAACGTTTCAAATGGAGAGGGGACTCCTGTGCTGCCCAGAAAAGGCCCGCGTGTCTCAGCACTGCACCTGTGGAGGAGCTTTCCATCCAAAGGCGGGAATGCTTGCCAGTGTGAGCGCTTACCTGGAGCTGTCTGCGTCAGCTCAGACTCTGGAAGCAGGGTGCCCTGCTCTAGATACACTCCCTGGCCAGGGGGACAGAGAAGTGACCAGAATCACGGCAGCCCCCTCCTCCCTTGGCTCTGTTCCTGAGGGCGACAAGCATGCTAGGCTCCCATATTCATGGAAGGTGTCCTCTGATGTGGCCCCTCAGTTCACAGGGGAAAACCCGAAGCCTGGAACTGATCCTTCACATGTTACTTATGTCTTATGTATCTATTTTTAAGTAATCTTCACACTGAACTTGGGGCTGGAACTCATGAACCCGAGACCAAGAATTGCAAGCTCTTCTTAGGAGCGGGACAGGCGCCCTGTGCATTGATGGAGACTACTGCGGGCAGGCTGCTTTGCTCCCAGCGACACAGAAGTGAGCAAAGCTCATGCCTCCCCCTCACCTGGGGCTTTACGGTTCAATAGGAAGGAGGGACATTAAACTCTTCGTCAATATACAATCATTAAGTGGGGCTCTGGCCATCCCATCCAAACCAAGGGGATGAGCTGGGCCTTGGGCCTTGGCCTGCTCCCTGGCTCTTCTCGCCCCTCCCCTCCCTCAGGCTGCCTGGGGAGTGGCCAGGCTCTTGGGGCCCAGGGGCATCGCCAATCTACAGGCGCCCCCAGACAGGACAGAAGTAATAGGATTTTAATCCTGTTAAAAAGACAGATACTCGAGCTCCCTGAGTGGTGGCCACGCTCTCCACACAGTAGCGTGAGGGCTGTTGGTGGCCACTACAGAGCCACCCTCCCGGGTTTAAGAGGTCCAACTTCATGCCATTTTTACCGTATTTCACTAAGCTCCTGATGCCCATCTCCGGAATCTACACATACGACATCGCTGTTGACAGACGGCACTTAGGATGTCGCTGTCCTTCCCACGGCTGAACCATCCAAAGCGGCTGAAATGCCAGATCTTTAACTTAAAAGCAGCAGAAAATGCTGCAAACGTTTCATGTTTCAGCCACCTCGTGGGTGGGTTTGCAGCATACCTAAACCCAAACCCTTTGCTCAGGCAGGAAAACTGGACTTCCGCCCTAACCTTGTACCGAAATGCCACACCCAGGAAGGGTGAAGTCCTCTAGACTGAGCCAAAATGTCCAGTGGCCTCGGCTCAGCCACTCTAGACTCAACTGAACATTCACCCCAAAGTTGCTTTCAGCTCTTCTGGGAGGTGTGAGATGAAACAGATAGTCTCATCGATGTTTTGTTGGCTGATACCTTGTTCTTTGGAAAAAGCCGTCATTCCTGTTTCCCCACGGGGCCCTGTGACCGGCCCTTCTGTCAGGGAGCTCACCCTGTGGCTGCTCCTGGCACCGGTGGTCACGACTCTTTAGGTCACAGGTCCTGCTTCTCTTCTCAGAAACAGAGTCTTGGGGCCTTCCTTGTTTCTCTCCAGACCCTGAAGCTATTCCTGCCCTCAGGAAAATGATCCTTAAGAATGATCCATGTTTTCAGTCCACTGCCAATCTACTGAGAAACTGTGAAGAAACTACCACAGTTTTAACCTGAGGCTTTGGGTGGTGGGTGTTAGTGGCCTGATTCCCACCTATTCGCATCTGTTCCCTTGCACTTTCAAACCATGGTTCCAATTCTACATGAAATCTCGTAGATCTCCATCCAATTGCCGTCCAGTTTTAGTGGGCAGCACCAACGGTTTTTAAACATGACTGAGAACCAAACAGAAAGTAAGAGTACATGGCACGTTGCAAAGATAAAACTGTTTAGAGAGGCTTCATTTAATGCTATGATTGGTGTTCCCTCTGGGCCACTCTAAGATGTGGCACTGGGTTTGAAGTGAAGAAAGGTCAGAGTCGCCAATTTATTTATTTTTTAAAAGATGTTATTTATCTGACAGACACAGCTCACAAGTAGGCAGAGAGGCAGGCAGAGAGGCGGAACAGGCTCCCAGCTGAGCAGAGAGCCCGATGCGGGGCTCAATCCCAGGACCCTGGGATCATGACCTGAGCCGAAGGCAGAGGCTTAACCTACTGAGCCCCCCAGGCGCCCCCAGAGTCGCGGAGTTAAAGGGTGTCTGCTCTCGCTTGTGTAGACCACAGCTTCAGGTGCCAACGCAAATCTCAGTCCTTTGTGCCCGGGGGCGCTCCTGGTCCGATCCGTGCCACCCCCGCCTTGGCACTCCGCACTAACCACCCCTTCCCTCCCGCCGGACCTCCAGCCCGCTAGGCTCAGCCAGGTTTCCTACCCGGGCTCCTCCTTTGCTTCGCTCACCTCCACCTTCCCACGCTCTCTTTAGGCCCAGCGGATGCCTCCGCGGCCCGCCGTCCCCCTCCCCGGAAACGTGCTGCCTCGGTCACCCGCCCGGTGCCCCCGCGTGCGCTCCCGCGCGCGACCGTTCCCGAACAGCCGCATCTCCAGTCCGAGGGTGATGGCCCGAGCCACCTGACGCGCGGGGACGGGCCTGGCGGGTCACTCCCTCCCCCGGGGACATCCCGCAAGACGGAAACATCAAGCCCCCACCCTCTCTCCCATCCCCCCACGTCCGTTCCCGCAGGCGCGGGTACAGAGTCGACCCGCAAATGCACCCCCGCCCAGGTGGCTGTCACGGGCTGCCAACCAGCTCCCAGCTCGTCCCGGCCAGGGCAGCCACGAAGAGCTCTCGAAATTTACACGGCATCCTTCCACTCCCCTGCTTAAAGGCCCCCTCTCCTAGAATCCGGCTCTTCGCAGCACCCCCTCGAGGACGACCTCGGCTCCCACGCCCGCGCTCTGGCGGACAGCACCCACTCAGCCCCGCAGCAGCGCGCGCAAGCGCAGCAGCGAGCCCGAGCGCGGCTGCGCGCGCAGGGGGAGTGGGCGGGGCCTCGGGAGCGGAAGCCGGGGCGGGGCCGGAGCGCCGCTCGCGAAAGCGCGTTTCCGGTCGGGCCGCGTCGACGTCCCCGCGGCGGAGGCGGGACTTCCGGCGCGGCACGGAAGCGGTCGCGCAGGTTGCGGGAGGCTGTTGGTGACCTGATGCAGGCGGCGCGGCACGTCGTGGTCGCCCTGTCCGGCGGGGTGGACAGCGCCGTGGCCGCGCTGCTGCTGAGGCGGAGAGGTGAGCGACCGCTTCTCGGGGACTCTGGCTGCGTCAGGTTCCCCATGCACTGGCGGGCGGCATCCCCGACTTTGGGGGCCCCGAGGCCCTCTGGCCCGGGGGACGGCGGCGGCGGGGTCTGCGCTGACCTGGGACGGTCCTGGCCCCACCGGGGCCCGTGCGGCCAAAATGTCCCCTGAACGTCCGTGCGACATGCCTGTGCCGGAGCGCCAGCGTCCGTTGCGGGCGTCCGGGGAGTGCCGGGGTCGGGCGCCGACTGAGCTGCGTTCTCCGTGTGAGGCCGCCTCCACGGGGTGGCTCGCGTGCGCTCTCCGCTCTGAGCTCCCGGAACGCAGGGCTGGCGGGGGGGCTCCTCGGTTAGTCCAGCGTCCTTCTCTGAAAGGTGGAGGGACCCCCCACGTCGCCGGGCCGCTGGGAGGATGAGCTGACACGAGCCCGCGCAAGCGTCACCCCGGAGCCCGGCACACAGTGGGCGCTCGGAAGACAGTCGTGGTTATTAAATAGAAATGCAGGCACCCGGGGCGCCTGGGTGGCTCAGTCCGTTGAGCCTCGCCGGGGTCACGATCTCAGATCTCAGAGTGGTAAGATGAGCCCAGGGAGGGCTGCACACTCGTCGGTGTCTGCTGGCGATTCTGTCCCTTCCTCCCCACCCACTCATGCACGTGCAGCGCTCTCACTCTCTCAGATAAATGGATCTGTGGAAACAATTAGGCGCGCTGTGCACTTGTGATTTGAGATCGGGAGTTAAAGCCTCACCGGCGGTGGTGGTGGGTAAGGCGAGACCGGAGGCAGAGTAGCATTTCACTAAGCAGGGAATCGGCGTGAAGTGTGAGGACAGTGCTCCTGGCAGGCCGCAGCTCCAGCAGAAGGTCAGAAGCATGCAAGTGTTGGCCGGGTCTGGACGGACGAAGAAAAGAGTGATTATGGCCGATGTTACCCGAGAGACTTTGGACTATGCGGGGTAGAACGTGCAGAGCCCTTGAAGGTTCCTGATGATGTGTGTGACTTGCTCTGACACATGGGGAGACTAGCCATGGGCAGACCGCGGGGATTCCTTTTATTCTTCAGGAAGGTCGGCTGTCCCTTCTCCCCAGGATCCAGACGATCACTCCATATTCCAGCCTTCCCTGGGGTTTCCTCCTCAGTGGGGGACGCTGATGGACTTAGCAGAGGAAAAGCGTGGTCCTCTCCTTGGCATCACGGGTTTCCCTAGTCTTGTGGGAGGTGCACGTCCTATCCTGTGCCCCCCAAAAGGCGCAGGTTCCATTCTGGAGTGCCTGGGCACCTAAGTGGGTCCATGTCCTTGAGAAGAAGGATAAGGTGATAGAAGAGGGGATTTTTAAAGCTGTGTGTGGGGTTGTCTCTTCTGCGAGCACCTCGTTAGCTCCGGGTTCTGTGCAGGGACAGAGGGTTGAATGAGACATAGTCTCTGCTCTCTTAAGAGCTCCATGCTGTAGTGAATGGCAGAAGGAGCCCAGCAGAGTATGGTGTGCGCTGGAGGAGACAGTAGGGGCGGGCCTGGTTAACTGCGGGGAGCCGTGGAGGGGTGGTCTGGCGGGTGTTCGGTGGCACACTCTATTAAACTTAGTCACAAACTTAGTCACATGTCTTGGGTTCTGTTACATTGAGCCTAACCACTGAGAAACATTTTTTTTTTTAAGATTTTATTTATTTATTTGACAGACAAAGATCACAAGCAGGCAGAGAGAGAGAGAGAGAGGAGGAGGCAGGCTTCCCACTGAGCAGAGAGCCCGATGAGGGGCTCGATCCCAGGATCCTGGGATCATGACCCGAGCCGAAGGCAGAGGCTTTAACCCACTGAGCCACCTAGGTGCCCCTGAGAAACATTTCTTAAACATTTCTCCCACGGGGTAGGCACCTGAGTGGGTCGCTAAGATGTTTGAAAGCTAACACTGGGCTTTCTGGTATTTGGGGGTACTTTGTTAAAATAGAAGAAGTCAAAAAAAGGTGGTAAAATATATAATTAGTACAACCTTTATAATAAAATAGCCTGGATTTTAATTGTCTTCTTGTCTGATGACTTAGAGTTTAAGTTCTAGATGATAATTGGAAAAAGTGTTTGAAATTAGTTTATTGTCTCCATAACAGAATGGTGGTTTTTATTTGCTTTGAAAAATGTTGAATTTCTGCTCTTCTGTCGTTCAGCACTCGTTTGCTGAGCCTGTCCCGCGTGCTAGGCATTGTGCAGACACAGGGTGGGGACACAGAGATGAAAATACACCACCTCGCTCACTTGGGCGACACAGGCCAACAGGTGCAGTCCTGCAGCCCACTGTGACGATGAAGGCGTTACCAAGTGTCATGGGAGTGTGGGGGAAGGGGCGTCTCGGCCAGCTGGGAAGGCAGGTGGCTTGCACTCAGATTATTGATTATGGACTCTGATTTGTGCCCCCTTCCTCCCCCAGGCTACCAAGTGACAGGGGTGTTCATGAAGAACTGGGACTCACTGGATGAACACGGAGTGTGCACTGCCGACAGGGACTGTGAAGATGCTTACAGAGTTTGCCGGATCCTTGACATCCCTTTCCACCAAGTGTCCTATGTGAAGGAGTACTGGAATGATGTGTTCAGGTGGGTCCTTTTCAGAGACGCAGAAGGCTTCCTGATGCGCCGTACTGCCTTTCTGCAGGAAGGACTGTGGTCGTCAGCCGGACCAGGGGCACGTGGCCACTGCTATTCGGTGGTGGCGCCACAGACCGTGGATGGCAGGTCCTAGAGCAGCCGGCCTCATATTTCCTTATGTGCCACCTGCTAGAAGTCTCCCTAATGCCTTCATGAACCTTGAGTTGTTTCTGCTGCTAGCTTTGGGTGAGGGAACTAAGGCTGAGGTCCTCCCTGAGAGGTGGCATGCGGTGATGCCTGTGCAGGTCAGTGGTGAGAGGCTTCTGGGAGAAAGAAGTAGGTGAGGCGCCCCTCCCTGGTGCCTCATGAAAACGTGAAACACAAAAACTTCAAAAATGAGACACCTGCCAATGGTGATCTTTCAGTGCTTGCTCCGAACTGGGCACAGTGCTGCGTCAGGGCCATAAAGGGGCACAGGCCATGGCTCATTCTGCAGGAGTTTGCAGCCCAGTGGGAGGGGGACGTTCCTGTCAACAGAGGGGACAGTGGTGAGTGGCGTGTAGGAGGTACCAGCGATATGAAAATGCTGCACGTTCAGAGGAGGGAGAAGTGGGTCATATGGAGCAGTCAGGCTTCATGGAGGAGGTGAGGTTTGCTCTGCTCTTGAAAATAACAGTGCAATAGAGAAGATTTCCCAAACAGGATAGCAAGAGCAGTGGTGACAAGGAAAATCCCCATCATTCTGGGGGGGGGGAACGTTGACAACTTTGGCTGGACTCTTGTCACTGCGGAGGAAGGCTGCTTGACCTGGGGTATGGGGGGCGCAGCTAGGCTCTGCAGTGGGTGGCCATCGAAGATGTCCCGGGCGGCAGTGATGTGCACAGGTTTAGGGTAGGCGCATGCATAAGGACATCCTTGGGTCCAGTCTTGATCCTGCCACTTACTGCATGGCTGTGGGCGATGCGCTTGGCTTTCTAAGCCTTTTTTTTAATCCCTTTAATGAGGATAGTGCCTCACGGGGTTCTTGTAAGAATTAAATGAAATTAGCTATAAAGCTGTCAGCACTGTGCCTGGCACATTAGTAAGCAATAAACGTAGCTCTTGTGATTTGTATTAGTGAAAAGCACAATCTGGGAGGCAAGTGTAGGGTACGTTATGGGAGAAGATTGGAGGCAGAGAGCTTGGGAGAAGCCGCTGTTAGAGGGTGGGAATGACAGGAGCGTGGAGTGGGGGTAAAGGCTGGCGGCGGCAGCCCTGGGGGCAGATCCACTGGCAGCGGAGGTCGGGCTGAAGGACTGGCGGGGCTGCTTGTTAAACATCCACCTGGACGGGGCTGTGGGATGTCAGCCTGGAGCCCACACTGCGACAAGCACTCCGTTCATTCTGGTGGGGAGACCCATCCGGTCTTACGTGGGAAATGGCGCCGGGGGGCTTGGTGACTGACGAGTATAGGAGTGGGAGAAAGTGGAGGCAGGGTAGCTTTGCCGTTGAATCTGGGTGGGTGGGGAGAGCTGTTTTGGGGCGTCCTTTCAGTACTGCAGGGCTTAAGGTGATAGCAAGAAATCCAGGCGGATTTAAACTTCACCTTTATTGCTACGTTTGGAAAGCGTGTGAGTGAATGTGATTTTCTGGAGGTTAACTCACGTTTAACGGAGGCCAGGCGGGCTCTGGCCAATCTGCCCTCTGCCTCCGTTTCGTCCTGGTGGCCTGCGTGGGTGATTGGAATTGCGCTCAGTGATCTTGGCGTTCAGAATGCTCACCACTCTGTTTTGTTTTGTTTAAACATGTTATTTGAGAGAGAGCGTGTGCACGAGCTGTGGGGAGGAGCAGAGGGAGAGGGAGAAGCAGGCTCCCCGCCACGCAGGGAGCCCGATGCGGGGCTCGATCCCAGGACCCTGAGATCGTGACCTGAGCCAAAGGTAGCCACTTAACCACCTGAGCCCCCCAGGAGCCCCCAGACACTCACCGCTGTGATAGCACTCTCCAGCTCCGAGATTTCTTCTGAATTCCTTGGTTACAAGGCCAGTTTGGGCTTCAAGGGTCAGAGTGTAGGTGTTCTTTCCGCTTGCCGTCTCCCTCCTGGGGTGCAGACGGGTTTTGTCCCCTCGCCGAACAGGCTGTGCTCCGTGGTTTTTGCTGACGCCACTGACTTCTTTTCCGTTAAGCCGTTTGGGAAATGGTTAAGGTGATTTTCAGAAGCAGGTGGACACCTTCAGCCTCTTCAACATTCATTCAGAACTTGTTATGTAGAAAACGTTCTGGGGGCTGCGGACACACGGAGAGTAAAGCAAGAGTTTAATGAGACTCTTGACAACTTTCTAACAGTTAAGAAATTGAAATATGGAGCAACACAAGTGTTCTCCCTTCCTGAGAGGACTGAGAGGTGGTAGGGACATGTGGCATCGCCTGCTGGAGTTGAAGATACACGTGTGACCTGTGACCCTGCGCAGATTCTCGGTACCTCTTCGTGACGTGGCCCTCTGGGTCAGCATTGTCATTTGTAACCATGGTGGAGCAACACAGAGCTTTAGGTTCGATGGAAAATGATCACAGGTACTCCAGATACACCTGTAACTTTTTTCTTTTTTAAAGATTTTATTTTGAAGTCATCTCTACACCCAGCTCGAAGCTCAAACCCATGACCCCAAGATCGAGAGTCGCACGCTCCTCCGGCTGAGCCAGCAGGGTGCCCCCCACCCTTTAGTACTCACTTTAAACTCCTGGAATAGGCATCATAATCCTCCTAGAGTAGATACTGTGGGACCATGAACTTGTTGCCGGACTGTCCTCCTTCCACATCTGGTCAGCCAGCCCGTTCGAGCGGAAGTCAGGCCAGCCAGGCTGCCCGTGCCGTGGAAGTATCCAGACCATTGCTGGCCCTCGGAAGTATGGGAGTCACAGTAGAAAAGTATCAGCTGGCACATTTATTCGCCCAGTGACCTGGGTCCCCAGGCCGAGATTGTGGAATAGCTCCTGGAGCCCCACATGGTGGCTCTGGGTCATTGGGTTCCTGCTCCCACTCCGGCGTGTTCTTCCTCCAAGCCATCCTCTGCTGGTGGAGTCAGGAGAGGCCGGGGTTGAGTGAGTCCATCCTGCACGGGGCCCCGTACAATCTGTGAGCCGCCGGGGAGACGGCGTGGCTGCTGGGCCGGAGTGGCAGGTGATACCTGGCTTCCTGTCCAGCTTTGTCTGTTCCCATAGATTCAGATGGAAGGTGCCGCTGGCTTTTTGCGAATGTTTGATGGAAACACTGACAGTGGCTGTCCACTGAAGCTCTCCTGATTTACGGAAAATTATAGCTTTGGTGAGACAAGGAGAAGCTGACTTAAGTAATTCAACCTAATCATTTTTAAAGATTTTATTTATTTATTTGAGAGAGAGAACGTGAGCTCAGCGGGTTGGGGTGGGCAGAGGGGGAGAGCGAGAATCTCAAGCAGACCCTGTGCCAAGTGCGGAGCCCAACCAGGAGCTCAACCCTACAACCCCGAGATCTTGGCCTGAGCTGAAATCCAGAACCGGACACTCAACTCACTGAGCCACCCAGGTGCCCCGATAGATTTATTTGTTTGAGGAATGTTTCACACTTAGAAATGAAAATCGTTGTCTTCTGTTCCAGTGACTTTTTAAGTGAATATGAAAAAGGAAGGACTCCGAATCCTGACATAGTCTGCAACAAACACATCAAATTCAGTTGTTTTTTCCATTATGCTGTGGATAATCTCGGTAAGTCGTTTTGCTCTTTCCATTTAATCTCTTTAAAATTGTAAGGTTTTCAGAGATACTCAGGAGCCAAATCCCAGTAAACAGTTTCATCTTCAGAAGGAAAGGAAGCAGTGGAAACGATAATATTCTGTTATCTTCCTGAGTAAGAAAGAACTTTCTGGCCATATGCAGATGACAGGGTCTCGGGGAGGAAGGCGTGTGTCCTCACCATGGACCTCTCCGGTGTGGGTGCGGTGCTCTAGGTTGAGCACCAACTTCTGAGCGTCCTGCCGAAACACGTCGCAGGCAGAGAGCCGGAAGCGGGGCTGCCAGAGCTTGCCTGCGGGTCCAGCTTCGCTCAGAGCAGCCCCAGTTGCAGGCAGGGTCACAGCGGGACTGTCACGAGCCCTCCCGAGAGCTCCGGAAAGTCGGCTTCGGTGTCTCTCTGGGTGTCCTTTTTGCCAGTCCTGCTGAGACCTTGTTCCCCTGCCCTGGGCAGCTTGGTTTCTGGGCCTTTCTTTCCCTCCTGGATTTGAAGCCACGTTTTACTGGTCTGTTCTTTTTTTTTTTAGATTTTGTGTGAGAGAGTGAGCACGAGCAGGGGTGAGGGGCAGAGGGAGAGAGAGAAGCAGGCTCCCCGCTGAGTAAGGAGCTGGGAGTGGGGCTCGATCCCAGGACCCGGAGATCAGGACCTGAGCGGATGCCTCACTGACTGAGCCTCCCCGGCGCCCCTGGTGGTCTGTCCTCAACGCCCGCCGAGGCCTGCTGGCTGCCTACAGCCGCCTGCAGAGTTTGTCTGTCTCCGTCCTTCTCCTTTCTCCCCTCCGTCCGCCTGCTGCGGCATCCCTGTGCCTCTGGGGGGCTCCGCGACGCTGCCTGGCTTGCTGGGGCTGCCCGTGGCCTCTGCGGCCTCAAAGCCCGCGTGCTCGCTCCTGTGCCCTGCCCTGCCCTCGCAGAAATTCCGATGCTGGCCTTTCCATGTCTTCTGTCCCGTGCGGCTTTTTGCTGCATCTGGCCACGTGCCCCAACGTTACTGTGACCGTCCTGTGCCAGCGGTCCAGTAGCGTCCCAGGACTGTTGGCTGCTCTGTCCGTCAGCTGTGCCGCAGGGACAGAAGCGGGCTCACTCTAGGCCTGCAGACCCAGAGCACAAGGGCCCTGCCGCTGGGGAGGGGACACACACTGCGTCACAGGCCTCAGTGATGCCTGCAAGACAAAGGCCCCAGAATTCTGGATGCATTTGAATGACTGATGCCAAAACTGAACCTTGGTAGAGATCATATTCCAAGTTGGCTAACTAGGGTCAATCTTCCCTCTTGTCCATGGTGGGGAGCAGATCTGGGCCTCCCGCTGCCTGCAGTCCGGCATTACCTGGTGGTTGGGGGTGTCAGGAAGGAAAGGCCCTGCTCTGCCCTCGTGGGCCACGTCTGGGGGGCTTACAGTTAGCTCCCGTTTATTCAGGAAGGGAGCGACAGGTTCATGGCTTGTGCAGTGACTTTGGTTTTGAGCGTGTTGGGAGACAGGACCTCAGATGAGCCGGGTGATTACCATGGGGTCATAGTGCCGTGCCCGGTGAGTGGCCTCCTTTTGTGTGCCTGCCACACAGGGCAGGGCCTGGCTGTGCAGAAGGACCGCACTTGGGAGGGGCGCAGCCAGCTCTGTGGGAGGGGGGTGACACCTCCCTGTGGCGAGAGTGGCTCCCCATCGCCTTAGCCTCTCAGGGAGCCGGCCCGAGGTGGCTGTCTGTTGGGGATGCGTCAGAAGGAGTTTCTGCGGGGCGTGCTTGCGTGTCTGAATTCCCGCGTGAGCAGTGCGGCATGGGGTGCCACTCCGTGCAACCCGGACTCTGAGATCTTGGGGTCTCTCCCAGAGGGACTTGACGCTTGGCGGCGGCGTAAGTGGTCGTTGTTTGGGGAAATAGATTGAAGCAGGGGTTTCCCTCTCTGAGAAACAGTCAAGGTAAAGCAGGTTCCCAAGTGTGCTTTTTCTGGTAGTTCATAAACAACAGTTCTTCTACTGGTAAGAATCTGCCTTAGGGTAGGGAATGCGTTTGGCAAACTGGAGAGCCCACTCCTGAGCAGAGGAGCCGTCTGCTGTTTTAGCTGCAGCTCATGTCAGACCAGTATTACTAGAACTTCCCTTTTGTGTTGTTTTTTAATGGATAGAACTTTTTTTTTTTTTTTTAAGTAAGTCTCTATATCCAGCGTGGGGCTTGAACTCATGACCCCGAGATCAGAACCTGCACGCTCCTCTGACTGAGCCCGCCACGTACCCTCAGCAGCTAATGCTCGTTGTCCCTCTCGTCTTACACTGAGCTCGTCTAGCTGGCAAGGCACGGGCTCGGTTTGCTGCCCCTTCCTGGAATGAGTCTCTTGCAACGTGGAGTATCTGAAGTGTTCGTCCATGGAAAGGTTGTGAACTAGTACGTGCTCTAGTAGGTTCTTTTGGTTTTTTGCATAACAGGGAGGGAAGAGATGGAATATGCTGGATGGTCCTTTACTGCGGTGCAAATAATGTGTGTGTATCAGAAAAAGTTCAAAGTTCAAGTTCATGACAGCAGAGTGAAAATAGGGAGATGTTGTCTATCATTTCTCTTCCCGGAATCAAAGGAATGGACTTTCTCATATTTTTCTTAATCTTTGTGCATTAAAAAAAAGTGGGGGGCACCTGGGTAGCTCAGTTGGTTAAGAGACTGCCTTCGGCTCAGGTCATGGTCCTGGAGTCCCGGGATCGAGTCGCACATCGGGCTCCCAGCTCCATGGGGAGTCTGCTTCTCCCTCTGACCTTCTCCCCTCTCATGTTCTCTCTCACTGTCTCTCTCTCAAATAAATAAATAATTTTTTTAAAAAAAAAGTGGGATTATAGTATTATGTATTTCCCCCTATTGAACATTATGAAAAACTTCTTGAGAGCGGCGCCATTCTTGTGGCATTTTAACTTCATATTCTCCGAACATTTTGGTGGTTTCAATTTTCCTTAGTATAGGAGACACTGAAATGAACTTTTTATTGTTAAATCTTTGTGTGCATATCTCTTTCCTTAAGCTAGAGTGAATGAGTGGATAGATAGAGACTTTTGAAAGTCCCATAAAGCTGCAGTAAAACCTTGTAGCAAGGTTGTATCCTTGTAAACAGAGAGTTCAAGGCCACTGTTGATGAGAATGTTGGCGTGTTGTGGGGGGCCTCCTCGCCCGGACCTCCATGTTTGGGAGGGAGCTGGGCCATCGGTGCAGACCGTCCAGCGCAAGGCTTGGTGTCTGCAGGCTTCTGGGAGCTCCCGAGGCGGCCCGGCCACACATGTGAGTCTGGAGTTTGATCTTGGGTTTTTAAAAATCTCACAGGAGCAGACGCAGTCGCCACGGGCCACTACGCCAGGACCTCACTGGAAGACGAGGAAGTCTTTCAGCAGAAGCACATTAGAAGGCCAGAAGGGCTTTTCAGAAACCGCTTTGAAGTCAGGAATGGTAAGCGAAAGTGCCAGGTCAGACCGCAGAGGTGGGTGCGCAGAGGGAGCTAGTGGAGTGTGGAGGCGGGTTGTCGCCGGAGCCACCCGCCGTGTCCCTGTGTGGCCTGCGCTAGCTGGCGGGTGTTGAAGAGTAAACATCAGGAGGCCGCCTCCCCGCAGAGCCTGCTTGGAACCTGCTTCTGTGATTTCTGACCCAGCCCTTACACTCTACCAGTGACTCGAAGGTTCCCAGGGTGTTTGAGGAAATACTTGTTCATGGTCGGAGCTCACAGGCCACGGCGCTTACCATGAGCTCTTGAGGGCTCGAGACCGGGGTGTGCGCACTTCTGCGGGACCCAGGCGCTGGGGCCTGACACCCGGGCCTGCTGGAGAGCGCGTGTGCAGAGATGATGGATATGGAGCAGTGGGTGGGCATTAGAGGGAGCCGAGTGTCACCTTTCGAGAAAAATGCCCAGCCGTCAGCAGGGCTGCTGCTGGCTTGTCCTGGTGTACATTTGTGTGTAGAAGAGAGGAATGCACGTCATTGTGAAGGGAGCTCAGAGCCCCGGCTGAGCAAGGAGTTTCCGTTGTCGTGGGATTGCCGGAGGGTTGGCCCGCCGAGCACCTGCCTCACCGCACCTGCCCCTTCCCCACCCCACGCCCCGGAGCGCAGCTGTGACGGGTGCGCGCTCCGCTTGGCCCCTCTGAGAGCAGAGGTGGAAGCGCTCGTCCCACTTCACAGGTGAGGAAACTGAGGCATGGAGTCATTTGACCGGGCCGCTTGTGGCCGTCAAGCTGGAGCTCAGCCCCGTGCGGCCCAGCTCCATAGTTGTTCTCTCTCTGCTACGCCAGGCCCCAGTCGAGCTCTGTCCTCCGTGTCACTGAGCCTGGTCGGAGGGCCACCCCGGCCATGTGGCCGTCTGCTGTGTTGCGGAGCCCCGAGGCTGCTGGCGGGTGCTTGGCCGGCCTGCTTTCGAACCCGGCCCCTTCCTCACAGCAGGGGGGACTCAGATCACCTTCCGGCTTGAACGTGGACAAGGGCAGGGCTTGCTTTTTGGGACGGTCTCCCTCTGCCCTTAGCCGCGCACTTGCCGCCAGGGCCTCAGGTACAGACGCCGGGAGAGAGGACAGGTTCCCTCGGCCTCCCTTCCAGTTGCTTCCGAGGGCCGCGTCTCACAGCCCCCAGCACCCCGGTCCTGGGAAGCCCGTCCGTGTCGGGAAGAAGGCGGAGCGCTGCCACGGGGGCGCTCCGCAGCAGAAGTCACCAAGTAAATACACGTGGAAGGGTCCTGAGTGGCTAAAGGATTCATTTCCACACGGAGAGACATGCTCGCTCACCGCCTAGAAACCGGTTTGTGCTCCGGAGCTGTCTGGACCTTTACGTGAGGCCGCGGGCCCTGGGAAGCTCCTCCGGTCGCGCTGACGGGCGCTCCTGAGCGACGTCACGTGGGGCCGTGGCAGGGACGTGGCGCTGTCTTCGTTTTCAGCGCGCTCTCTAGTCACGGCGCTTTTCCGCTAATTCTTACTTGGCTGCTCTGGAGACCTGCACCGGGTCCCTGGGCGGCACGGCACGGGCCGCGCACCCGGGGCAGCGCGGAGCCCGCCTAGGCTCGTCGGCGCTCCTGGGCCCCGGCCTGGCGCCCGGTTAGGCCTCACCCGTGCGGAGGGGGCGCGGCGCCGGCCTGACCGTGGACAGGCTGTGAGGGTGTGTGACTGAAACCCCGGACCGTGTCCCTTCTATGGTTTAAGATCACCGGCCTCCTTTAAAAAAAAACTTTGCGCCTGTCTTATTTATTTACTTATTAAGATTTTATTTATTTGAGAGAGTGTGTGACAGAGATAGTGAGAGAGCACGAGTGGGAGGAGAGGGAGAAGCAGGCTCCCCACTGAGCAAGGAGCCCGATGTGGGGCTCGAGCCCCCTCATGATCTGAGCCGAAGGCAGACGCTTACTTAACCCACTGAGCCCCCTGGGCGCCCCAGATTTTGGGTCTGTTTTATGCTGACTCGGAGCTGTGAGGAGATGCCCATTGCTTCCCGTGTCCTGAGGCCCCCGTGTGCGCTGCTGACCGGTCTTCCTTTTGAAACAGAAAGTGGCCTTGGGCAGAGCCTGCCTCCCCGATGACTGGCTCTTTTCCATTTCTCAGCCGGTCGTTGCTGTGCGCTCAGGAAGGGCTGGACTAGGACTAAGGCCACGTCTGCGTGCTGTTGCACCTCTCCGACGAGCTCAGCCTCAGTTTCCTCGTCTGTAAAATGGGGGTCATGGACCCTCCCAAGGTTAAAGTGAGACTCACATTTGAGGCCGCGGGTGGAGAATGTTCCCTCCCCAGAGCCCGTGTCCCCCACACGACTGTGCGAGCTGACAGGCACACGTGCGTCGTATGGGCCCCAGTGCACACGTAGCACGCCCTGAGGGTGCCGTGCGGCGGCCTGTCCTCGGATGCCCGGAGCTCCGGCACTGAAAGCCCACGAGCCGTTTCCCGTGGCTCGCCGAACTTGACATCGGAGAGCCCGTTGCTCGCAGTCGCGGCGGTCCGGGCACGGGCCTGCGGGTGTGATGTGGCCCAGCAGGGCGGCCGGGCCTCCTTCTCTGACCCAGTGTCACGGGGCCAAGGTCAGTCACGCCTGTGCCGCGAGGCCTCAGGGCCAGAAGCGCTTCTCTGCCGGGGAGACGAGCAGGGGGAGGCCGTGGAGGAGCAGCGCACAGATGTCCGCGTGACTGAACGAAACCCGCTTTCCGCGGAAACCCCTGACTGCGAGGGTGGGGAGCGGCTGACCCCCCGGCCCGGCGTCCTCCGGGGGTCCCTCGTCCAGCTTTCTCATGCTCGGCTGCGTGTACCTTGGGCTCGTTTTCACGTCACCTCTTCAGAGCGGGCCTATGCCGAGTTGGGTCCGTAAAGTTCCATGACCCGGGGAGGGAACGGGATTAAACTTCCCGATCACGTAGACTTGTTCTTAACGGCGCCTAAACTCGGGGTGAGAACTCGTCTCCCCTGAAGCACGGGATGGTCTGTCTTTCCTGGGGTCTGCCTGTGAGTCCTGCTTTCTGCCTCCGACGGAGCAGGGAGGAGCTGGTAGGACGGGACTCGCGGCCAAGGACCGTTGTGTTCATTCCCGCACCGTGTTTTGTTCTTTACTCTTGGCAGTGGTTAAACTTCTTCAAGCAGCTGACAGCTTTAAAGACCAGACCTTCTTTCTCAGCCAGGTTTCCCAAGATGCCCTGAGGAGAACCCTCTTCCCTCTGGGGGGGCTAACGAAAGATTTTGTCAAGAAAATAGCTGCTGAGAATAGACTCCATCACGTGCTTCAGAAGAAGGAGGTAGGACGGAGGGGGGTGTGCTCGCGGCCAAGGTCTGCGGAGAAGCGGGGCCCCGTCTGGGCGTTTCCTCCCCAGGAGCCAACGTCAGGACAGAGCCCGGGTCACACGTCCAGTAGGACACGCTGTTGACATTCCAGGAGCTGCTCAGACACGATTGCTCCCTCCGGGGTGAGCGGCTTCCACAGCAGCCCGGCTAGCTCATTGGGGTGTCCTTGGCCCAGGCTGCCAGGGGAGGGCAGGGCTAAAGGACCGGGCCCTGAGACACCCTGGCCAGGGCTCTGTCGCTGCCTGCGCGCAAATCTGCCTTTTTCACACACCTGTCCTGGGTACTGTGCTGATGGCCCCTGAGGACAGGGTGAGAGCACATGGGTTCCTCACTCCTGCCTTCATGGAGCTCGCAGGAGGGGAAGACAGACATGAAACATACCACGGCAAAACTGGAAAGTGTGTAGGAGGCACCAGTGGGCTCTAACTAGACTGGGCTAGAGCCAGAGACGGGCTCTGGGGAGTTAACATTTTATTTAACGTAAGGCCTCAGGATGAATAGGATTTAGTGTCCCAAAGACAGCTGGGGGAGAATAGCCCCAATAGTGGGAAGAGGGTGTGCAAAGGCCCTGAGACAAGAAGAGCCTGGGCCTTGGAACGACGGTGAGGCCAGCGTGGCGGGGGTCTGGCGCTACAGGATGGTCCCGGTGTGCTCGGTGTGGTCGGGCCTTGTCAGGGATTGGGTCACCTTTAGCTGAGGCTGCTGCTGCCCTTTTGTCTTCCTGGGAATGAGCATGACCTTTTTTATCAGCAAGTCATTGTCCCCAAGGAAGACATCTTTTCACGCATGCATCCCCCCATCATCTCTGTCCCTCCGTTCACTGGTTCGGGTTCTGGGTGTGGTTCTGTGGTGGGAGCTGGGGGGCCACATCTCCGGGAGACACAAGCAGAGAGCCGGTGAGAGAGCCGTGTGACGGGAGCGGCGCTGGAGCGCGCCCTCCGCTTGTCTTCTGGGCTAGAGGAGACCACCTTGAGGGAGCCGCTCCTTCCTCTGACTCTCCTGCTCACGCGTCAGCTTCTGGCCCAGCTGCTCTCCTTCCCAGGCTGAGCCCGGCTCCCGGCTTCCCCGCGGCTCGCGGATGGTGATCCGAAGGGCTGGCCCCCCTCCGGCTCTCTCTCCTGTGGGGGAGGACGTGGTGTGGCCTTGCTTACTCACCAGATCCCGGGTCGGGGGCCTGAAGCAGACCCTGGGAGGCTGAGACGCTCTGAAAGCCCTCAAGGTCCGTGTGCGGGCACGGCCGGCGTCTGCGGGTACTGGCCGAGGAGAGCCGGGCCCGCGGCCCGCTGCTGCCCCGGCACTGGCCTGTTCTCGTGCGGACACCGGCCTGCTCGCTCCCCTCACGCTCGGCTCCCCTTCCCTTCCAGAGCATGGGCATCTGTTTCGTCGGCAAAAGGAATTTTGAAAATTTCATTCTTCAGGTGAGTGTTCTGAGGGGCGGAAGAGTGGAGGCACGTTTCTGCTCTGGGCCTGCATCTGTGAGTAAGAACGTGCTTGTTTTTCAGTATTTACAGCCCCGGCCTGGTAAATTCATTTCTATAGAAGACAATAAAGTTCTGGGAACACACAAAGGTGAGACCCCACCTTGGGCTGCCTTTCGTCGTAAACTCCCTGAGTCATGGGGCAAGTTGCAGCTCTGGGAGAGTCCGACGAGAAGCCTGTGGTTCCTTCTGCATCCGCGCGGGAGTCCAGGAGGTCTGTGGGCGGGGGTCGCAGGTGGCTCGAGCGGGTGTGGCGGCCAGTGCTGCGCGTGGGCTCCGTGAGGCCTGGCAGCTAGTGAAGAGGGATGCCCTCCGATTCCGGAAGACCCGTGTTGCGTCTCTGTAGGTAAAAGTACCCTCTCACCGCAGGGGAAGAAAACGTGAGAACACAGAGAGGTCCACCCTGACGAAAGCTTGACTGACTTCATACTGAGCTTCCAGATCTAGGACGAGGACGGGACAGGATCAGAGGGTGTCCCCACAAGGCAGGGATGTTGCACTTGGGTGCAGACGTTTGGGAAGGGGCACCGTGAACTTGCCCCGGGCCGGTGTGGGGAGGCTGCGGCAGACAGATCAGGCTCCAGCATTCACAGCGCAGTGGGAAGACAGAGAGTGGGTTGGTGAGTGGTGGGCCTGTGCCCCCGGGGCATCAGAGAGAAGCCTTCGGGGGCTAGAGACCAGGTAGGTATTGACCCAGAATGTGTCTGACCTGCTGGGGGGACAAGGGCTGGTACTCAGACATGGACAGGCTCACTGATGGCTCTTTGGAATCCCCCAACCCAGTTTGGGCAGATGGCTTCTCTTTCCCATTGGGGGAGCTGGACTTGGCTGTCCGGGGCTCCTGGGGATCCAGGCAGAGAAGCCCCATGCATTCCTAAGATGGAAGGAGGGGACAGGCCTGCAGGGTGCTCCCTCCCAGCCGGTCTCCAGCAGGATGAGATCCCCTCAGCTTGTCTCTTCTGTGCTAGTGCTGTTCCTCGGGGGGTGAGGGTCGGGGGCTAGCCATCCAGTCTTGTGATGTTTGTTGCAGGGTCGGGGTACACAGAGAAGTGGGGGCAGCCCTGATGCCCCAGCCCCCTGTGCAGTTCATCCATCAGAGGGGTTCCTGGGGGCTCAGCAGGAGGGGACTTAGGGCTTCTGTGCACATTCCGGAGGACTGGTCCCTGCGGCCCCTGGTTTGGGTGGTCCAATAGCTGGCATGGCTCCTGGCGGGGCACAGGGTGCAGCCTGACACAGGGCTGAGGCTGTGGTGGATGAATACAGCTGCTCTGGACTACCTACCTCTCGGTGGCCCCCAGAGCCTCCCGACTGCTGCCCCTCCCCCCATGCTGTGCGCCCCGTCAAGAGGTGGGTGATATGAAGGCTCTGGGGCCGGCTGCTGAGAAACCGTCTTTCCGTAGGTTGGTTCCTGTATACTTTGGGCCAGAGAGCCAAGATAGGTGGCTTACGGGAGCCCTGGTATGTGGTGGAGAAGGACGGCACCAAGGGCGATGTGTTTGTGGTGAGTCGGGCTGGCCTTTTAGACAGGTGACCGAGGTCTGTTTTTGGCAGATGGACCATCCTTGCCTCCCTCTGTGTCCTCCTGGGACTGGCCCCCGAGTACCAGCAGGGCTCTGGGGAAGGTACTCATCAGGGTCTTACCGTGTGCCGGCCACTCTAGCAGGCACGTTAATGGCTGTGAACAGATCCTATTTTTCTGATTTTACGCAAGAGGCCGAAGGTCCCTCAGTGCTTAGGACAGGGCTGGCCCATGGCTGCGCAAGCCACTGCTGGACACGAAAGCGGCCGAGCCGGGTCCAGAGCCATTTGTGGGCCGCAGTGACTTTGAACCCTGTCCCCAGGCTCTGGAGCAGGGCTTCCCAAAGAGGGTGAGTTGGCCCTGCTCCCTCCACCCAGGACACTCGGCAGTGTCCCTATGGTATCTGATAGGTGGAGGCCAAGGGGGGCCCCTGACATCCTACAGGAAAGCCCCCACCCTGAACAGATGACTCAGCCTCCCGTCTCAGCCGTACCGAGGTCGAGAGCCCTTGCCCTAGGAGAGCTGGGTGCTCGGGCACAGAGCTGGAGGAGCCTTAGACACAGGCAGAGCTTGCCTACGATTCTGGGCCATCTCCTTCCTCAGAGAGCCGTGGGCATCACAGCCTGAGCAGGGATTGTGGTCACACGTAAATTCAAGTGGTTTTCGTGTAAAATTTCAGTGGTCTCTGTTGCGTTCTGAGAAACCAGGAGGGTCGTCACCCGGCATTTGTCCCCATGTGGGTATCCCTGCCTGGGGCTTGGGTCAGATGGCCTCAGTACAGCCCCGGGGAGCCGGCCCTGTGCCTTCTTTCCCCTGCCGCCTGGAGTTTGATGGGCTCCTGGGGTGACCGTTTGGAGACAAGCCATCAGCGTGGCGGGCCCTGCCTCGGCAGGTGCGGCAGGACGTGAGGCTGGAACTGGTGGGTGCTGACCGTGGTTCGCTGCTCGTCAAGTGTGACTGTGACAAGACCCTTTCCCTCCTACGCCTCAGTTTCCTCCTGTGCAGAATGGGATCCAGCAGCGTGGGGTGGTCCCACGCATTTCTGGGCGGGCGCTGTAGTCAGCAGTCAGCATGCCGTTGGGGTCGCTACTGATGAAGTGCAGGCTTGGGGTGGGGGCCCCTCCGCTGAGGGCTCCCGTGTCCTGACCTGCGCGTTCCGCCCCACAGGCCCCGCGGACAGACCACCCGGCTCTGTACAGGGACCTGCTGCGGACCAACCGCGTGCACTGGATCGCGGAGGAGCCCCCGGCAGCCCTGGTCCGGGACAAGATGATGGAGTGCCACTTCCGGTTCCGCCACCAGATGGCGCTAGGTGACTGAGCCGGAGGGACCCTGCAGAGGGAACCCAGGGTCCTCGCGGTCCTTAGACTTGGGGCGGGAGTGTCCCCCACTGTTCAGGTTGCATAACGTATTCGGAACCCCCTCTTCGCCTGCGTTCCCTGGGAGCCCTGACGGGGAGGCGCTGAGGCCCGCGTGGCCGCCCTCGTCCACTGTGCAGGACGTGTCCTGGAGGTGCTGGCGTGGCAGGCCAGGAAGCAAGTGGCACTGAGCCGCTCCGGCTGTGGCCCCCGCTGCTGATGCTCCTTCCACCCCTTGGGGGGTGCGAGGCCTGGGGCTGGCCACATGTGGAAAGGCCGGGGCCCCCTCCAAAGACCCCTCTTGTTCACCCAGTGCCCTGTGTGCTGACCCTCAACCAAGACGGCACCGTGTGGGTGACAGCTGTGCGGGCCGTGCGGGCCCTGGCCCCGGGACAGGTGAGTGGGATGTGCCTGGCCCTGCGCCCGTGCTGCTCAGGGAGGCGGGGAGCCCGGATGGAAGGCAGGACCGGGCCTCACTCCACGTTCACGTGTGGCCAGAGCCGGGCCCTCGTGCACGAGATGGGCTTCAGCATGTGCTCAGGTGCGCCTTGCCGAGGCCTGTGTGGCCGAGGGGGCTCTGGCCAGTGGGCTCCGTGCTCTGGAAGGTCAGACCGCACTTCCTCCCCGCCGGAGTGCCCCGTTTACAGGGTGGGGGTGCTGAGCTGTGGGCTGGGCGCCTAGTGTCCTCCCCCCCCCCCCACCCCCAGCCACACCAGTGATACCTGCCCCTGCTTGATGCTGGGAGGGCCCAGCTGCCCTGTCTGAGCCTGTCCTCCCCCACGCCCGCAGCCCAGCAGCTGCAGACCCACACTCACACTCCTGCTGCTGGTGGGCACCCGGCGCCGGGCCCCACGGAGCTCACACGGGCCTCTTTACTTCTTAGTTTGCCGTCTTCTATAAAGGGGAGGAGTGTCTGGGCAGCGGGAAAATCCTGCGCTTGGGGCCATCTGCCTACATACTCCAGAAGGGCAAGAGCAAGTCCAGAGTGGCCGTCGAGGGCCCCATCGACAGCCCCAGTGACGGCCCAGGGCTGGGCCCCGTGGTCTGAAGGAGGCTGAGTGGCTGCTGCGCGCCCGGGAGCAGGCCCAGAGGAGCGGAGCCCAGTGTGGAGCTGTCGGGGGGAGCGTGGCTGAGCCTGCTGCCCCGGTCCTAGCCAGGCTGGCCTCACAGTGCCGGGCGAGCCCCAGAAAGGCTTGTCCTGTCTTCCCCAAGTTGGTGCTCTGGCCAGAAGGACTTTCTGCCTAGTGGGTGGGTCCCAAGTACCCCATGTATAGAGTTGCTCTTCTGGGCCCCGGGGAAGGTCTCCACCCGCAAGCACACAGGTGGCCCGGCGAGGAGGCTGCAGGGATGCGGGGACGGCACCCAATAAAGCGTGTGTCTGGGACAGAGTCTGATGGGGTCTCCTGAGGGGTGCGGGCCTCTGGCACACAGCTCCAGCCGAGGGACACGAGCCCTGCTCCCCCTGTTCCCGCCGCACCCTCCTTCCCCTGGAGGGTTCCCCTGGGAGGGCCAACAGTGGTGGGACCTGGGCTGAGCCCCGGCCCGCAGGGGTGCCCCTCGGCCATGCAAGGGGGTGCAGCCGTGAGGAGGCCGTCCCCCGCCGGCACCTGGCGCCTCCGCGGCAGTCACATGGCCAGCAGGAGGGCCGGGGGCCTCGTCCCAGCGAGGGGCGTTGGCGGCAGGCAGTGTCCGTTCCCAGTGGCCGGGCGGCGTAACACGACAGACGTCTGTGTCTCACGGCAGTGGGGACCAGTGGTTGGCTGAGGTTCCCCTGTGGTTTGCCAGCGGCTGACTTCGCGCTATGGCCCCAGTGGCCAGGAGGACGGGGGGGTCTCCCTGGGGCCACCCTCATGGCCCAGTGCCTCCCAAAGGCCTAGTGTCGGCATGCCTCGACACTGGGGATTTAGGGATTCCCCATGGCGCTGGGAGAGCGCACAGCCCACAGCATGGGGTGCGTGCGCGCTTGTGTTGGTGAGAGGACGGCAGGCGGCTGGGAGCTGCTTGGCAGAGAAGTGGGAAGATGTCCAGAGCCCGCTGCACTCTGTGCGGGGCAGCCTGTGGTTCCGGGGGCGTTTTGACCCCCGCGGAGTCCCGGCGTGACCCCTGCTGGCTCTGTGCACTGTCAGGGTTCCGCCGGGCCGGGTGGCCCTGCGGGTGGGAGGTGGGCAGACGCCTGGGATCTGACTCGTTCTCTTCTCAGTGCCTGCGGGGCATGTGGGGGCCGGGTGTCCGGGAGTGCCCTGCCTCCAGCTTGCCTGCCCTGACGGGGGGGCTGGGCACCAGGGACAGAGCTTGGGCTCCCTTCTCTCACTAGCCTCATACCCGACACATTCTTGGTGCTTCGAGCCAGGCTTCTGTGGGGGCCAGAAGTGTGGTTTCCTGTCTTCTGTGGGCATAAGGTTCTAGACCAGAGGTAGCGTAGCCCTCAGGCACAGTGCTGCTAGAGGAGCACCTGGGAAGGTTGTCCCACAGCTGCCACCCTTCAGGGCCTCTGGTGGTGACAGGTCTAGCCTGGGGTCTTGAGTGCCAGCCATCCAGCACCCTCCCCCCCCCCGCCCCGCCTGCCGCCCACAGAGGCAGGTCCCAGATCGCAGACCACAAGGGAGGAGCCCAGAGTGGGGTGACGGTCACCTCGGCCCCAGAGTGCTACAGTGGGAGGAGGGCTTCCTTCTGAAGAGGAGAGAGGTGGCAGGTGTTTTTGAGCAGAAAATCCCTCTGGCGTCTAAGGTGCAGGTGGGAGGGAATGGGCGACCAGGTGGGCTGTGGGGTTGGGTATGGTGGCAGTCGGGGATGAAGGTTAGATTTAGGAAGTCCTGTGTAGCGGCTCAGGAGGAGGGGTGGACGCCTAAGACCTTTGTCCGCAGCATGTCAGGACGCAGTGTGCTTGGGAGCAGAGCAGCCACCCTCCATGCAGCCAGGAAGGGAGGCCCAGGCCTGGGACCCCATTCGGCGCCTGCCTCAGCTCTGGTGTGGCGGCTGCAGCCTGCCTGCGAGACCAGCCTTCCTGGCGGCCCGTCCCTGCCGGCCTGGGGCAAAGGGAACGAGGAGGGATGGGTCCCACCATTGTTTAGTTGGACCCTGTGTGGGGCTGATAGGCCGCACCGTTGGGTTGGGGGGGCTTTAAGGCCAGGCTGCTGTGCGGGGCTGAGAGCTCAGTGCCAGCACCCCCCCAGAGGCAGGATGAACGCAGTGGCCCTCAGTGACGGTCAGGGTGCTGGGGCTGTGCCCAGAGCAAAGCCTCTCCCCTCCACACCGTTGTGACAGCGGGAGCTGCTGCCTCCGAGCCTTCTCCCCACCCAGCAGGAGGCCTTCGGGGCGGGAAGGAGCGGGGAGCGGGCCCGAGGCTCCAGGGTCGGGCTTTCCAGCCATCCACATGGCAGCTGAGTCCAATAAAGGAGGCCCTGAGAGGCAGGGGGCTCGGGCCTGCCCCCATTCCCCACTTGCTCGTTGTGCTGGGAGGCCGTTGAGGCAGGGACTGAAACCCCGGTCACGTTCCGCCAGCTCACAGGACAGCGTGGAGCCTCCCAGGCCTCGGGGTTCCCGATCCGCGGCCCTGGTGGCTGGGCCTCTTGTCCTGCTGGGAAGGCCGAGCCTGGGCAGCGGCAGCAGGAACAGGAGGAAGGGCAGCCAGGTGGAAGTCTCTCGGGCGCAGGCAGGTGTTGGTGGCGGGAGACTGCCCGTCCTCCCAGCCGGCCCAGCGGCCGCTCTGGCCACCCAGGCCTCCCCTCTGGCGGGGCCCATGGCAGCCTTCCAGCCGGTGGTGCCACCCTCCCTCTGTTGGGCACAGCCTGCCCTCTGCATGCCCCTGAGGCCACCACCCAAGTGCAGGAGGCCACGTTGTGCACTGCGTCAGCTGTCCACCAGGGGGCACCGGGGGGCCAGGCTCATGAGCTGAGACTGTACTGCCCTGCGCTGGCGGGCCCAGGACTGTGCCCCACCCCCCGCACCCCCCACCCCGGGTGACCTTCAGGAGACCCTGGGCAGGCTGAAGGGGGTGGAGCTGAGGGGTAGGGCATGTGTCCCCCTGTCCCCGTTTCCCAGATGGGCACCCCAGTTGCCAGGCTCCGCCATTGCCCCAGGTTCCCAGACCCTGAGGGAAGGAGGGCCCAGGGCCGGGGCTGTACACACGGCGGGAGAGAGTTGAAGCTCTCAGGGAACCCCAGACAGGGCCTGCTCATCCCGACTGCGTTAGGGGGATGGACAGAAAGTTCCAGTACGGTTCCTTTCCCCCAGGGCCTGTCCATAGTCCCTGGCCGGCTCAGGGAGTGGGGCCGGGGAAGAGCAGCACAGCAGAAGCACAAATTCAAAAATCTTAATTTATTGCAGACTCTTCTCTGGTGTTGTAATTCCAGTGTTTCCAATATCAATAAATAGACATTTGTTAAAAAAAAAAAAAATCTCCAGTGTCTCATTTCTCATAAAGTCTTAAGTCACAAAACTAGGTTTACAGTTTTTCCTGTCTTAATACAACGGACAGTTGTTTTTTGGTAACAATTCTGATCAGATTGAAAACTGCAGCTCAAGGGGCAGGACCCAGCTGTGGAAGAGTGAGGACGCGGTGGGGGGGGTCCGACTCGAGGGTGTTCACTGTTTGTACTTAGGAAAAGGGCTGGTCGGGTAAACGTCCGAAGACACCCTTCTGCCTTCAAAATGCCGCTCGCCCGCTAAGGCACATTTGTAATTCATCCCGCGTGTGGACCCCGCGGTGTCGTGTCACTCCTGTGTGAGGTGTGTGGCCGAGACCCGCCCCGCACCTGCTGTTCCCGGTGTGGTAGTGAACAGTGCTCACGTTGCATCAACACGGAGCAGAAACCTTCGCTTTGACTTGATTCTCTTCCTGTTTTACGGTTTCTCGTATGTGGAGGCAGCGGTGCTAACCGTGCATTTGGGCGCCTGACTGGAAGAACAAAGGCAACACAAGAAGGAGACGTGTCTGAGTCATTCTGGGCCCCGTTCCACAGCCCCTGCGGCCACGCCGTGCCAAGTGCCCACTGTGGGACAGGCACAGCCGCTCCTCGTACGAGCTTCCAAAAAACAGCTTGGTAACCATGGCTGTGGCTGTGGCTTTGTCCCTCTGCACAATTGGCCATTTGAAGCAAAATGAAGTAATTGGTTGGGTTCTGGGGGCGGGGCCCCAGCCCGCCCGGGGATCCTCGGCGTCTCAAAGAACTGGACAATTTGGCAGGAAGGAATGTGACATCCTGGAAGGCCCCACACCTCCATCTAAATCGGGAACATGTGAGCACTGTAAGATCCACCGGGAACAGGAGCAGAGGGACAAAAGACATCCCCACCTGCGGTACCCCATGACTGGGACGAGGGCCAGGGAGGCGCCGCAGGCGGAGCATGAGTCCGGGGTGGGGGCGGCCAGGGAAGGGCCAGAGCTAGGTCACCTATGTTTCTCCACCACCAACCTCGGGGGGCTCCCTCCGTCCCGCCCCATTGTAGGCTGCTGGGAGATCCGTGGGATGGATCGTCATAGCCTGTCGTAGGCTGCCCTGTCTCTGATCCATCACAGTTGGGGCGGCTGGGAGCGGAGGACACACGTCCCAGAAACGCGCCATGAATTCAGGCGGTCGCTCGCGATGCCCACACAATCCCTGCGTTCTAGCCGAGCACAGGGGCAGGAGCCTCTGTTCGAGGACGGCCTCTCCCCGACGCACTTCCCACTCTGATCTACCGGGACACCTGTTGCATCAACGCATGCCAGGTTCAAGTACAACTGTGCAATCTTCCTTGTATAAAAAAAATAGTGAGAGATCGTCCCACGGATCTCCCAGTATCAACAGTACAAATGCAAAATATACATAGGCTTTCCACCTTCTCAGAGTCCCGTACAAATATATAGAGAAGTATCTACACGTTTTCAACAAAAGACAGTAGTTTGCTTCAAGATGAGGAATGTCTGCAAAGGGCCATCAAGGCCACCGACCAGGGGTCTGTGCTGCAGGGGGTGCCCGCATGGCCAGTGGGCCTCCGTCTTCCGCCTACGCCTGGCACCCCCGAACCCCAGCAAGCCAGGCCTGGCAGCTTCCGGCCCTGCCAGCTCTCGTGCTGGGCCCATTCCTGGCCTGCCGGTGCACGGCTCTGCCTCTGTCCGCAGTCGGGATCCAGATGAGCCAGCCCGGGAGCCCACACACGCATCCTCGTGCCCATGGCCTTTGGCACTTGTCACGGGTCAACTGGGCCCTGGGCCCCTGGGGGCAGCCTGGGGCTTTGTGTCTGGACTGTGGGTCACACCAGTCATGGGGCTGCCACCGCAGGACCCCCTTCACTGCCAGGGCAGTGGCCCCCTGGGTTTCCAAGGTCCAAGCGTGTGTCAGTGCAGCACAGAGGCCTGGCTGGAGACGGTGGGCTTGTCTCACGGTTTCCTGACGGTTCAGATTGAAGTTTCGTTACTGCCTCTGTGCGTGGGAAGAAGCCATCAGGCAGGCGGAAGTCAGCAAGAATGGCCCTTGCTACGCATGAAGCCAGCAGGGGGGCCAGGTTGGAGGTCACGCTGGGGCAGACACCTACCCCCCCAACACAGGACGGGGGGGGCAGAATCCCCCAGTCAGGGGGCGCAGAGAGAGACAAGCTCGCACGTGGACGTAGCTACACTAGGCAGGAGAGGGGGCAGTCGAGTCTGCACCCTGACACCCAGGGCCCCCGGGAGGGCCATGCCCACCAGCGCCCACACAGCCTGCCCTGCTGTGAGGCAACCAAACTCAGTTTTCAGAGCGCCGTTCCAGAAGACCTGGCTCCCGCTCTTCGCTCCTCCCTTAGAAGTCTGTAGGAGGAAGGAGCCATGGGGGGAGGCCAGCAGGCCAGTCTGGAGCCAAGATCCCTGCTCCATTCCTCTGCAGGGGTCCCCCAGAGGCTTGATTTCCTGGACCAAGATCCTTACAAAGTGCTTAGTCCCACAGGGTCTTAAGTCCCAGAATTTCAGGGCTGGGCAGGGGTTTAGGGCTTTGGCCAATGCAGCCGCCACCTGAATGTTGGCAGCCGGGCCGCCCTGGTCAGAAGTCCACTTCGTCCTCCCGAGGGCTGCCCCTGACCCCGCGGAAGCCCCTCCCTCCACAATACCCCAGCACAGCCCCCGGGGCCCCTCTCTGGACTGGACACCTGTCCCCTTGGCGGGAGACGAAGGGAAAGCCGGCCGGGGCCGCTCCTGCTGCCCTGCAGCCCAGGCCGAGGCTACTCACTCGGAGTCGGAGCCCGCCGCCTGGGCGCTCCCGGCCCGCACGTTCATGGCCACCCCGTTGAGGTGCTCGCGCCCCGGCTCCCGGCGCGGGCTCTTGATGGTGATGGTGCCGTCGGGGGCGCGGGCCCCGTCGCTCGAGCCCACGGAGGACGAGCGCGAAGACGCGGGGCTCTGCTCGCACTCGGCCAGCTTCTCCCGCAGCCGCGACTTGAGGCTCTTCTCGGTCAGCGGCGGCGGGTAGGTGACCTTGTTTTTCAAGATGCCTGGAGGTGGGAAGGTGGGGAGTCGCGATCAGCCTGCCGCGGCCGGAGCAGGGACCCGAGGAGCAGACTCTGGGCCCTGCGGAGCCCCTGCTCTTCCCTCCTTGGTCTCAGCCACAGGCGGGGGGGCCAAATGGTCACCCCCGTGCGGGGAAGCCGACCGGTGGAGACCCGGACCCACCCGCACCGGCCGCTCCTGCGTCCCGCCCCGCCCCTGCCCCGCCCCTGCCCCCGCCCCTCCTGCACTCCGCCCCGCCCCCCACCCCGCATGCACTCGGCCCACTCCCCCGCCACACCAGCACCCCACCCAGACCCAGCCCCTACACCGCCCCCTCCCCGTGCCCCGTCCCGCCCACTGCCCCGCCCTCCACCCACCCGCACTCCACCCCACCCCACCCCTTCGCCCCGCAGGGACCCCGGCCCCGCCCCTCTGCACTCTGTCCCCACCCAGACCCCGCCCCCTCCCAACACGGCCCCACCTCTGTCCCCTCCCCCGCTGAGGGGCTTCCCCGTCCCCCAGCTTCCCGGGAACAGCGCGGCCTCCCCATGCCCAAAGCACCTTTTCTCTGCTCCGGGGGCTGGCTGGGGAGCACGCTCGCGGGCCTCGGCGGGCCGCCGCTCTCCTGCTCCGGGGGCCGCTCCCCGCAGTGGTTGCCCTGCTCGTCCAGGTGCAGCTCCACGCTGACCTTGGTCTCGACCTTCAGGCGCGGCTGGTCGCCAGGCTCCTCACTGTCGCTGCCAGCCGGGCTCTCGCTAGGCCAGCCGGCCGGGATGTGGTTGGCCACGGCGTCCACTGAGGCACAAGAGCAGCCGTCAACAGCGTCAACAGCGGGGACTCCCTGCCCCCCTGAAAGCTTCCCTCGTGTCCCTCGGCGGGGAGCCTGCCTCCCACGCGGCCCTGAGTCCCCGCGGGCAGAGCTGCGGGCAGAGCTGCAGGCCGGACACGGTGCCACCCTCCAGGTGGGGCAGCTACGGCTCCTGACAGCGGGGGCCCAGCCCACAGTGCCCCACCTCAACACCCTGGCGCCTCAACACCGGCCCCCCAGCAACAAAAGGGGCCAGCAACGTGGGGTCCTTGAAGTGGGGGTTCCCGAAGAGACCCTCAAAGACCTCCCTGCCTCTGCTCTGCAGATGCTGTGGGCAGGGCCTTCCCCCGCCGGCACCTCCCCCCTGCCATCCCTCCTCCTGCCGTCCCTCCCCCTGCCTCCACTCTCCATCACAGGAGGCAGGCCTCAGACACACCGCCCAACACTGCCTCACCTTTAGGGGTGCTGTGGACGGGGCCCCGAGCCGAGTCCCACTTGCCCTCGGCCTCCGCCCCATCGTCCTCGCTGTCTGAGGAGTGCGAGGAGGCGTAGGAGCTGCTTTGCTCATCCAGGGACAGCTCGCTGTCCGAGTCCGAGTCGTGCTCTGCGGGGAGGGCGGGAGGGCCGGAGGCTCAGGCCAAGGGCTGAGTGGAGCCTGCTGGGCCCGGGCACGGGGGAAGTGATCGTTTCCCTGGGGACCTTCTGAATGGGGTGGGCCACAGACGTCCTCTGAGCCTGTACATCCAGCAACCAAGAGGCCCATGGGCCTGACAAGAGCCAAGAAGAAGCTCCCCCCACCGGCCCCCCAGGAGGGACATGCCCAGGGGCCGCCTTCCAGGGGACACATACCGTGGTGCTTCTTGGTGCTTCTGGGGACAAAGGACGAATCTGGCTCCCCATGGCCGCCCCGTGCTGGCCCAGAGGACACACTGAGCTTCTGACCCGCTCCGTCCCTAGAGAGGGTAGGAGGGTGGGCTCAGCGCCATCACTCGGGGGTTGCATGACATGACCGCCCAACATCACCGGGCACCTTTGGCATGTGCCAAGGTGGCCCCACAGGGCTCTGGAAGGTTCGCTGCCACGAAAGACTCCCGGAGCATGTGGGGAGCCACACGCCCTCTGGAACAGGAGGGCACACCACTCGGGCCATTCCGAGCGAATGCAGCCTGCATTCTCCCTGAGAGCTGGGCCTCCCCCCGCCCCACCGTGCCCCGGGACAAGCGAGGGCACCGGCTGGGCCTGACCTGACGGTGCTGTCCAGTGAGGCAGTGGACTCGCCCAGGGCCGTGCGGAACATGTTGGGCTCCTCGCTGTACGTGTGGTTGCAGTTGAGGGAGCGCTGCAGGAGGGGGCACAGTTATCGCCGGAGCAGAGGCCACTGGCCTGCAGAGGACAGCTCTGTCCCCACAGCAAGCCCTGGTGCCAGCACCCTGACGGTGCCCCCACCCAGCACAGAGCACACAGGCCTCGTGGCAGCCTGGAGGACAGCACCCCTAGCCCCCACAGGGGTCCAAGGACGTCTTCCTGCCCGCAGCCAGGGCTTCTGCCGTCGCCCTGTCCTCTGTGACCTTGAACAATGGGGCTGTGATGAGGACAGACCCCATCTAGTGAACTTGCTCCCTTCCCAGGACGTCAGGAATGGAATCAGCCTCGATGCCACTCTCCAAGGGGCTCTCTGATGCCAGGGTCAGTGGAGACCCGGCAACTATGTTGAATGCTTGGTCTAGAGACCCACACGGCAATCCCCTCCCCCCGCCCCGCCCTGGTCCTCGGGCACCGCCTACCGTCAGCAGGGTGGCCCTCGTGGCGGCGGAGTCATCCAGGTGCAGCTTCTTCCCAGCAAGCACTGCCTTCAGGTGCTTCCTGACCTCTCTGTTGAGCACGCAGTGGAACAGGAGGACGAAGAGACCCTGGAGGGAGGGGACGGCTGGTCAGGGCAGGGATGGGCCGGCAGCGAAGCAGCTAGGGTCCTGTGGCTGCCAGGCCGGTGGGCACACCCGCCTGCCCAAGGACGCAGACAACACAGCCACACCATGTGCCGCGGAGTGCCCGGAGCCAGCCTGGCCGCGGGGGCCCGCCCTGGGCGCTCCCTCCCCGGGGCCTCTGCTTGCCCAGCACGCCAGGGGCCAAGGGGGACTGGTCCCAGCCACACCCCCGGCCATCTGCGTCTCCAATATGACATCACTTGCTGGGAAGCCCTCAGTGGGAACTGTAAATGGCCAGCACTGGCCCCGCGGACACGAGTGGGATGTACGCTGCCCCGCGGAGGGAGGATGAGCCCCGGCATCGGCTGAGCAAGGGACAGTGTCCCAGGGGGCCCTGGGGAGGCCCTGGGCAGAGCTGCGCTCCGGACCCCGGGTTCCTTGTTGCCGACCGTGCGCAGAGAGGCATCACGGGAACCCCTGGCACATTCCGGCCACATGGTGACCGTCATGCCATGGCCCGTCTGCCCCGGACGCTGGGTCCAGGATCTCCCCCAGGCCTTTCAGACAGGAGGTAGCGTAAGCGACTCATGACCTCACCAAGGCTGGCCCCAGCGAGGCCCGCCAGGTCACGGGGACGGAGATGGCCCACCTGTAAGCAGCTGAAGACTGCGAAGAGGTAGTGGAAGGCCAGTGCGTCGCGGTTCACGGCCAGCAGCCCCAGCAGCCAGGTGGCGCTGACGAGCAGCAGCAGCAGGAAGGCCGTCCGCAGCAGGGGGCTGCCGGGGGCGGGGCAGGGGTGACTCCGGGGCCCCGCCCTCCCCCCACCCCCTCTCGGCCCACCCCTCAGCCTCGCCACTTAACTTCCCAAAACTTTTTAAAGCACCTGGTCACTCTCCACTCCTGCAGCCACGGCATCACCATCGCCGCCAACCCGGAAAGTCCCAGCCGCACTCCCGTGCCCCAACACCCGCCGGGCTCCTCCCCATTGCATCCAGGCCCCTCACACCTCCCCAGACCCAGCTGTCACCACCCCCTCCTCCCCTCCACCCATCCGTTAACAGGACCTGGTTGAGGGGCACAGAGGCCCATCCTGCTCCCTTCTGCCACCAGGTGCTGCAGAGCCTACCCCCTACTGTCCCCGGGGTCCCATGGGCCAAGGTGGCCTGCCCCAGGCCTCCTCATGCTCAGCGCCCTGCCTCTCCTCCACTACGTGCCCACTGCCCCCAGCCTCTCCCCACTGCGGCCTGCTGATGCATCCACATGGCCGTCATGTCCCCAGGAGCTGAGCTGGGGGGTGGCCAAGGGCCTGGGCACAGGGAGACGGGTGCCTTCAGGGGGCTCTGCTAGGCGTTCAGTCCCACACTGGGACCCACTTACACAACCCCTTTCCTTTCATAATAATGGTGCTTTCTTTGACAGGAAACCTTCGCAGACAGGACAAAAATGACTGTGTTGACCTGAAAAACATTTTTTTAACAACCCAAGTCAGGTGGCCAGCTGGTCAGTATCGCCACGGATCAGAAGACCCAACGCTTCTGAGGGGCTCTGCCTGCATCTCCAGGTGCGGCTGGAATGAGAAGGGCTCACACGCCCCCTGCCTGCGGGACCCTCCCGAGGGTGGGTGCCGAGCTGCCTCCTAGCGGACGAGGACGCAGACGGGGACAAACCCGCAGGTCCAATGGCGAGGCCTCAGCACCATGAGATCACCCCTTCCTGCCCAACAGGCTGCTCTGACGAGCCAAGGACCCCACCGGCCCCCAAAACCCCTTCCAGACCACATGCCCAGTTTCCCACACCCCCAAGAATCGTGGGCCCTGCGAAACTCCCGGACTCACAATGATAACCGCTCCTATGGGCCCGGCGAAGCTCCAGATCAGGGTGTCTCGAAGGGACAGCCAGCAGAAGTCGGGGTTTCCATAGCCCTGGGGGTCCAGGCCCACTGCGAGTCCTGGACAATGGGGAGGGAGTGGGGACTCATCCCGGGAGGGGCCCCTCCTGAGGGTCGGCCTGAGGGGGCACGTGGCCACAAGCAGCATTCCCAGCTCGGCGCACACACATCACATACAGACCTACACACCACATACTCATCACATATAGACCACACACACCCCACACGCAACATACACACGTCACGTACAGACCACACACACACCACACACACGTCACATACAGACCACACACAGCACACATACTACATATGCACATCACATACAGACCACACTCACATCCCACACGTCACATACAGACCACACCCCCCACACTATATACACACGTCACGTGCAGACCACACACACACCACACACGCATCACATAGAAACCACACCCCCACACATACTACATACACATCACATACAGACCACACACATCACATACAGACCACACACCCACACACGCTACATACATGTCACGTACAGACCAAACACACACACCACACACACGTCAATAAA